ACCCTCATGGAGCAGCTCAACATCAGCTGCCGCTTCAAAGAGCCTTGAGTGCCCTGCACCACATCTTAGTTTGCAGTGAGAAATGCCCTTTCACAAAGCAAACTGCATGTAACCCCAATATCGGGGCTGGGCTTCCACACAGACATTGCTTACAGCAGCACTTCTGGTGCAACCGGTTCCTCTTGACAGGGAGATGGTATCAAGTCTGAAGTTCAGGCTGTATTGACAGAGATTTTGTCAACAAAAAGGTGTTGAAGGATGATGTATTTGTGCAAGAAGTCACAAAGAGGTGAAAGATATCCCCTTCGGGAGTCGCTTTCCTACCAAACAGGCAGTTGCTTGCTGTTGCTTTTCAGGTGAAGCTGGAGGTGGGGATGTGGTGGCTCTCGTCTCATCGTGCTCCTCCTTCCTGAGCCAAGCCAGCTTTGCAAACATCTACCCTCAAAGTGACCATGGCGAGAAGTGACAGAGCAGCTGATGAAGAGCAGAAACCAGAGCCCTCATGCAACTGATCCGCCCTGGGAAGCAGTGCAGGGGAACGGGCATTGTGGCTTCACCACGTTGTGTTTTGGGATGCAAGCATCCTAAATAAGAGACAGCTTGTGCTCTGCAAGGTGGCAGCAGCTGACCATGGAGAAGGGGCTTGGGACAAGGGCCTGTAGGGACAGGCCAAGGGGAATGGCTTGAACCTGCCCGAGGGGAGACTGAGCTGAGCTCTTAGGCAGAAGCTCTTCCCTGTGAGGGTGCTGAGGCGCTGGCACAGGGTGCCCAGAGAAGCTGTGGCTGCCCCATCCCTGCCAGTGCTCAAGGCCAGGTTGGACACAGGGGCTTGGAGCAAGCTGCTCCAGTGGAAGGGGTCCCTGCCCGTGGCAGGGGTTGGAGCTGGAGGAGCTTTAAGGTCCCTTCCAACCCAAACCAGGCTGGGGTTCTGGGATTCCTGTAGTTTACCAGGGCACAGACACCACCTTTGCCCAAGTAAGAGCAGTGTTTAACTTTTTTCCCTCAGATGTCACCCATTTTCACCCCATCTTCTCAGCTGTCTTTAGAGGTGCAGGAAGGGCATGTCCCGATGGAGCAGCACGTTAGCATCCTCTTCTCCTGCAGCTCCTTGCTAGGACACGCTGAGCACCACCATCACATACCAGTGATGGTTTCATACCTCCTGCAAGGCTCTCGCCTGCTTTGCATCCAGCTAGAGCATGTAACCCTCAACCAGCCTTCTCATCTCACCTCGTCTCATGAGGGTTGGGTGAGCAAACAGTCAGACACCCATGAAAGAGACACAAAGCCCAGCACAGCGTTAGCAGTTGGGAGTAGCTCAGGGTCTGCTCCATGATGTTTGAATTTCCACAAGGATGCATGTCAACTGGATGCAATCCCAACGTACTAAATGCAACTCGCCTCTAATTGCATTGTTTCCGCTGATCTCCGACGAAATTCTCTCTCTGTCTAACAAGCACGCTTGGCTGAGGCTCTCTTTAAACTTTATGTGATTTTTCCATGTGCTTGTTTGCTGAAAAGAGCCCAAACACGAGCAGGTTTCAGTTAGTTTCTCCCCCCCCATTAACTTGTTTTCTTTCGCTGCCTCGCGTGTGCTTTTACTGCCTCCCTCTTCTCGGGCAGTGCCAACAGCAGAACAGGAAGGGTGGCTGGAGAGGGGCCAGCTTTTGCTTCAGCTCATTTCTCTTCAACACACACTGGTCTTTGACACCCCCCCCCCAGACTCTGTTTGTCATTTGCTTTGCTCTCCCAGCATTGTGTCATGGCCATGGTATTGCTGATGGATTCCGAGCTCGCCTCATGGAGCAGTGCACAAGGTTTTCATAAGCACATTCATCTTGAAAGCAAAACTGTCAGAAGCAAACAATGCCCCTATGAATGATGTTGTAAAGACACATACTAACTCTAAACATCCATTACCAAAGAATATTAGCTTATAGAGGAACTCCATTTCCTCTTACTCGTTTTTAATAGGTACCTGATATCCAAAGTACTTCCACATTGGAAAATTTGCTCCAAGATGTGAAAGTGCCCAAGATAAAACCCCTCAACAGAATCTTTTCCAGCGCGGCCCCAGAATAGCGTGTGTTGGGCTGGAGAAGGGGGGGTCTAAAAGGCTGGGGGTTGACGGCTCCTTTCTCTGTTCTACTCCCATTTTGGGGTCCTTCTGTGCCCCAACCCTTTCACCCAGCATCATCTTGGCCGTTGGCATGGCCAGGTACCACAGACCTGCTCCAGAGGGGGGCAAGCAGCTGTGGCTACCAAGCCTCATCCCAGTTCCCTCCTGCTGGAAGTTGTTTTGCTGCTCCCATGTCAGTGGCTGTAGGTACCCGACGCATCCACACGCTTTTTGTTTGGAGGCGAGCAGCCTGTGTGGCAGGAAGAAAACATCTGAGATCGCTTTAAATGTCACTTGGAGCCAGGCCAGCAGCGTAGGCAAGGAAAAGCTGGTAGCTTGTTTTAATTTAATGGTGTTGAAGTGTTCTACTGCAATTAAGCATCTGAAAATTAAACAGAAACAGTCATTAAGTCTGGTGATACAAACCCACTAGACCAGAGAATATAAATTATTTCAAATGGTAAATGCCAAAGCAGTGTTTATGATAGGGATGTTTCCCCTTATTAGCCATTATCTGTTGGTTTAAATCAGAGGAACTTAATCCTGAGGAGATTAATCACTGCAGATGTTGAAGCCCGGAGCCCGGAGCAGGTCACTCGTTCTGCTGCAGGGTGCTAAAAGCCAGGGTGGGGGCTTGGGAGTGGGAAAGCAAATAGAGAAGAGCAGAGAAGGTGATGTCCGTGCCTCCCAGCCCCTCGGTCCGGCCCAACAGGCAGACCAGGGAATCCCTGCCTCCCCCTGCCTGAGCTGGCAGCTCGTTTTTTAACCTGCCCATGTTATTTGCTAGGGATAAGGCACCTTCTCCCTGCATGCTGGCTGGAGCAGCTTGTACACAGGTAGGGATGCAAAGCCATTGGGCTCCTGCAGGACTTGCATGTGCTCACTTAAATGCATCGTGTGCATGGGGGGGTGATGGCTTGGTCCAGGCTATTTCCCCAGGGGGGCTGTGGCACCTGCTAGGGCTTCCTGCAGTCCCCCAGGCAAAGCCAGGCTGCTTCAGAGGGAAGGTTTTGGGGAGAAACTGGAGTTTTTATGCTGGCAAGGAGTGACCTGAGATAGAATCACAGAACCCCAGCCTGGTTTGTGTTGAAGGGACCTTAAAGCTCCTCCAGCTCCAACCCCTGCCACAGGCAGGGACCCCTTCCACTGGAGAAGCTTGCTCCAAGCCCCTGTGTCCAACCTGGCCTTGAGCACTGCCAGGGATGGGGCAGCCACAGCTTCTCTGGGCACCCTGTGCCAGCGCCTCAGCACCCTCACAGGGAAGAGCTTCTGCCTAAGAGCTCAGCTCAGTCTCCCCTCGGGCAGGTTCAAGCCATTCCCCTTGGCCTGTCCCTACAGGCCCTTGTCCCAAGCCCCTCTCCAGGTTTACTGCTACCTGAGTGCTTCTTGGGAGCAGACAGAGGTGCTTTTCTCCCTGTGGTGGCAGTGATGAAAATCACCCCCTGAGCTTCATTCACAAGGGGAAGTGGTGGCCAAGAAGGGAAGAACAGGGCAACCTCACCTAAAACTGGCTGGGCTGCTGGCTAGAGCATGGGGCCACGCAAGCTGGTGGTGCTTACCCCAAAAGCTCTGGCAAACGGAAGCCCTGCCTTTGTGAAAGAGCTTTTCCCCTGTTGCTGGCTGGATAATGCAGGCTGACAACCTGGACCCGTAAAACTTCCAACGTGTGCTATTCCTGAAGTATTCCTTTTACAAGCCTCAGCTTCTCTCTGCTGTGAGCACGAACCAAGCTCCGGTTCAGGTAAGCACATAAATGCTTGTTTAAATTCCTCATCTTTCAGCAGAAGCATACGCTTACATCTAATGGCCTTTGGTGAGACTTAAGCCTGGCTTTAAAGTTAAGCATGTGTTTTAAGTGCATTCCTGAATCAGGGCTCTGAGATCCATTGACGTGAACAGAAAGATTCCCCATTGGCTTTAGTGGGATTTTTCTTGCTTGAAATGGAGTCCAGATCTCATGAAATAAATACCCATGTCTTTGTAGATGTGGAACCACATGGAGACTTATGAATACTTGTTCCCAGAAAAGGATCCAGCTTATTCATATGCCTACATCATGTGTATTAAATTCTCCTGACATCTACCACAATTCTAGCATATAAATGGGAAACAGAATAGATACTGTGCCCTGAAAGCACTCAGCTATTGATGGCTTTGAATTCATAGCAGGAAGCATTGTTTGTGTGCAGCCTTTACAAACTGTACTTCCATTTCCCTTTAACATTGTTTCGTTCACATTTTATCCAGATTACTGGCCTGGCTTTCCACGAGGATCAAGCTCGCTTGGTCCTGGTCTGAAGGAGAACGTCAGGGTGTGGAGGAGAGGGAAGGATTTGGCACTCGAGGCACATCATAGGGACTGGGGCTGGCTTTGCCCATCCCAAGCCAGTGGCTGTTGGTCCCAGTGAGGCTGGAGCGCTGTTAAATCCCCCCTAAATCCTTTCTGGAGAAGGAGGAATGTGTAAAGACAGAGGGAGCGCAGAGGGAAATAAGGTCTGCACCAGACCTGCTGCTCAAATAAATCCTCACATGCAGAGCAGAGCTGTTCAGGTTGGATGCAGGAACAGCAAAGGGCTATATTGCTGTTGCTTCTGGCATTGCACGCGTCCAGCAGCACACAATAACTCAACCAACCTGCACGCTTTCCCTTCAGGAGCGGTGCTTGATTCAGAGGGGGAATTCCAGAAAGAACACGGTTTTTGTCTGCAGCCCCTGCTCCCCATCCCACCGATGGCAGCCAGAGATGCAGATGTTCCCATTCCAACACTCTCCGCTCCTTCCTGCCACTGCTTTTCCAGGCAAGCGAGCGGAAAGCAGCAGCAGCAGCATTGCTCAGCTGACATACACCATGTTCCATTTGTTCCTCAAACTCTTTAGGAGCTGATACCGCGGGCACGGGTTCAACAGGAGGAAGGAGCTGCCAGGTCCATGCAGGCTCCCTGGAAGATGCCGGCCTTCCTGCATGATGAAGTTGCTGCAAGGGCCCATCGGCTCCTGGTTGGGTCTGCTTTCACCTCCCAGCTCCCCCCTGCCTGCTGATGCTCATAGGATCAGCCAAATTTAGGTAGGTTAAACCCAATGGCATGTTATCCAAAACAAAATCAGCTATTTTGGAGCTTTCTTGGGAGGGGACAGAGCAAGAAAAGGTCTTTTTATGCCTATTTCTGGGTGGAGGGGGCTGTGCACCACTTGTCTGACGTGCTGCGGCAACTCTAACACAGTATCTGATTTCAAATGACATCTGTGTCAGCTATAACCCAACACGTGCCTGTGCTAACAGGTCTGGTAGCTCTGGGCTCTGCCTGCAAGGATGGACCCCGAGGTGAGGAGGGGCTGGGAGGAGATGGGAAGCTTCAGGACATTGGAAATGGTTTGAAGTAGTGGCTGTGAAAGCACCATCGTGTTATTCAGCAGCTCTCCTGCTCCATCTGCCCCCACAGCTGCAGGCCAGCACCACCAGTATGTTCTTTATAAGAGCCTACTGCAAACGTCTGTGCCTCTTGTACAGGAAAAACCTGAGATGAAACAAGCTAGGAGGGGTTTTCCTCTCTTTCAAAGCAAACTAACAGAGCATCTCCCTTCAAACCCGAACCAGAGAGATCAGAATGTTTTGCCTTTTCCCTTAAATGAAAGCTTTCCCATCTGTAGGACTGGCATTTTCTTTTATCTGTCAAAGAAATACAGTCAGAAACCCATCTTTTGCACCTTAAAACATTTCTACTCAAACCCACAACCCTCCAAAACAAAAAAGACTCTAGAGAAAGTTTTCAATGAAAACAGTTTATAGGAACATAAATACCTATTTGTGGGGTTATTTTCATTGGGTTTGGCAGTCCTGTGTGTTCAGGGTGATGAGGGGAACTGAGCAATCACTGCCATTCCAATATAATCCATGTCCAAGCATGATCCCATTTGGTACCGATGCTGTGCAGCAGCAGTCGCTATCTATGGGTGCTTTAATTATTGGAGCAGGGCATAAAACCAGTATCAGACCCTGGCTTCACCAGGAAGGGTAGGAGAGTCTCTTACACAGACTCATCTTCAAGTATTGCTCTTCACCTGTTACGTTTGAAGTCCAAAGCATCATCGCCAGCCATGTCACAAGCTTCCCCTCTTTCCTGTGGCACAGGAAAAGGACCATGGTTGTGCCACCAGACCCATCTTTGGCCAAGGACCATGGATGCAGCATGCCATGAACGCTCCATCCCTGGCAGTGTTCAAGGCCAGGTTGGACAGAGCCTTGGGTGCCATGGTTTAGTGTGAGGTGTCCGTGCCCATGGCAGGGGGCTGGAACTGGATGATCTTAAGGTCTTTTCCAACCCTGACTGTTCTATGATTCTATGGCTCTCAGAGCAAAGGGGATGAGAGGACCTGAGGGTCCTTCCTCCCATTGCCTGCAGCTCATCCCTCTGGCCACGCCATGGTTTTGGTCCTGGAGCTACACAGAGAGCTCCTGGCTGAGATGAAGCCTTGAGAAAAGCCCTGCTTACCCCAAGAGCTTGGTACTCAGGTCATGGTGTGTTGCTGTGGCCAGGTGGAAGGGAAGAAGAGTGTGGGCAAACCAGCTCCAAGTGCTGGCAATGTTAAATTAGGGATATACCAAGCAAGTACGGGGGTGAACTGCAGGGTTTACCTGTTGCACCCATAGGAGGAGGGAAGGCTGTGCCTTCATGCAGTGCAGGCTGCTGCTTGCAGTGCCCACCCTTAGTCTTTGCTCAGTGTCCAGGGCAGTGAAAATCAGGTATTCCCCCCATCTTTAATTGCAAGGGGCTTGTGCAAGCAGCACTCTGCCAGCACGGGCAGGCAGGAATGAGCAGCATAGGGAGAGTCACTGGAGCTGTCCCTTGAGAGGTGATTCAGGGGCTAGAATGGACAAGGCATCTCTTCACAGTGCTGTAAATCCCACTTTATATCCCCCGTGCCACATACAGGAGAAATAAACAGAGCTTTGTGATGATTAGTCAGAATCTTTATGATGGTTATAACATTCTCTGCTTACCTCGCTCCTGCCTTGCTACCTCGGTGCGTTTTCATATTGCTACAAGTTTCTGCTGTGAAATGATCCCTGAAAAGAGTTTACCTGCCACTAAATGGCTCTGAACACTGTGAGATGCTTTGGTGCAACACCGTGAAGCACAGCTCTTGGCTCTCTGGGTCAACACGCCGAGCGCACACCTCACACCCCCATTAAGAGCTATGAAGTGTGGCACCAGGTCGTAAAGAGCTGCAGGAGACACGTTTTATTCACAGCTCAACGCTATAAAGTTTGACCTATTACATCCTTCACCACCTGTAACACCAAGTCAGGCATGGAGCAAAATGCATGAGGCAAGCTCCTTTCTTTTGCCAGGGCTGTCTCTGCAGCCAGGGGCGCAGGTGATGGGGAAAGTGGGAGCTAGGATTTCCCACTGGAATTGTCTTGGCTGGTTTGGGCATCCAGGAGGATGAGGCTTAGATGAGACCTTGTCTTCAGGTTCATGGACCTCAATGCTGTGTGAAAGGCAGGGCAGATTATTCCTCCGTAAGATCCTAACCAATTATTTATCCTATTTTAATCCCAGACCATTGGCTTTGGTCACCCTGATGTTCATCCCTTCCTTTCTCTCCCCATATTCCTTTCCCAGGACTCCTTACGGATGAGCGGATCCAGCCCCAAACTGATGGACAACCTCCTCCGAGAGCCTGGGGATGATGCGCCAGATGGATCCATGCCATAAAGCCCATTGGAATTAAGCGTGAGTAAAGATACCCAAGTCTCATCCAAAATATCTTCCACAAGGAGAAGATTCCCTGTTCTCTCCCGGGGCCACGTGCGCACCATCCAGCATGCAGCCGCTCTGCGTGCACGCGGTGCCAAGTGCAACAAGACGACCCGGTGCTGTTTCAGCCTACGCGATGTTTTTCCACCAGCACAACTTAACATCCCTTTCCCTTGCCAAGCGTGCGGCCTTCCCACTTCATTATGGTCATGAGAAAACCATTCCAGTAAGAAAACAAAGGAATAGGTTGAGCAGCCCTTCATCCCTTCTGTCTGCGAGCACGTGCGGCGCTTGTTTGCAAAGTTGGGCACGAGCTAATAGGCTGATCTTGCAAAGATTTACGCTCAGGCAAAGGCTTCCATATGGGCTTAGCGTTAAGCAGGACCTTAATCTATAGGAAAATATTTGGAAGGGGTTTTTATGTTTCTCTTTCACTGTAGGACCAATGAAATATTCACCATAGCAAATGGAGAGGCTGTTGCCGAGTCCTGAGGGCTTGGGGCAGGCAGCAGACAAGGACCTTATGTGAGTGCTTGTTGTTTCTCACAGCACCTACAGCTCCCACCAGTGCTGCAAGGACTGCCTGTTCTCAGCGCTGTGCTGGGTGAGCATTCTGAGTGGTCAAAGTCAAGGCTCCTCTCTCCAGGGACCCCCACTGCTGCAGTGAGGAGCGGGGATAGACCATCCCCATCCATCTGAACTGAATCTCAGCACTGATCCCAGCGTTCCATGAAGCCATTCCTGCGAGCCAGCTGTCTCCATACGCCTGGCAGATGTCTTGGAGCAGGACTGAGCCTTTGCAAGGCAGAGGCTTGGCTTCACCCCTTCCTTTGAGGCACAGCCAGAGCAGGCAGTCCCGTCCCGTCCCGCTGCCCGCTTCTCCCAACAGGCTCCCCTGCAGCGAGACCTCTACGTGCCGTTAGCGTTGAGACTCCTTCAATGCTCCTCTCATATTGCTTTGTGTTCTTACTGCTTCAATACTAGCGAGGCAAGGTGGTGACTGCACCTCCATAGCCGGTGGGAGATGGAAGGATCCAGACTGTAGCTAAAAAGCTCTCCCACTGCCTGCATGCGTCTCAGGGCGTGCAAAGAGATTTCAAATCCACACGCAGTGATTCACAAGTGGTCCGAGATGCTTTGCAGGCAGAACGGGAGAAGAAAATCGGGATGATGTGTGTAAAAAGAAAGGTAGTTTGTATGGCAATAATTACAAATAGTCTCTGTTGTCCTCACATCAGCAACGTTTTACACAAGAATTAGAGCGCATTAAGGATCCAGGATATCTTTTTCCCATTCAGAATCTGCGATGAAAAATGCAATCTTTAGGAAAAAAAACACCCCAAACTTAAAACTCTAGGATTTTTGCCTTTTTTTCCTCTCTCCACGAGGAATTACGGAGCTTTGCTTTCTGGCTTGCAGAGGGGTATATTTTATAGACCTAAATCGCTTTTGACAAACGAAACCGAGTTGTTGTTAATTACCCAACCTGTGGCCTTTACCAAACCGAAATAGATGCTTACACAAAGTGGCTCAGACAGCACATGCAGCTTTGAAGAATGATTTTTCTCCTGCGAGCCCAAAGCCTGTTCTCCAGCAAGCTGAAGCAGTTTCTTTCACGGCAGCGGGACTGTTCAACTCTGTATTAAACGAGTGTCAAAAGGCTCGGGAAAGGAGATAGTCAGGAGTAATCCTGTGACACAAAAAGCACCCGCACCCGGCTTCGTTTTTTGCGAGAGGGAAGCGTTGTGCTTCGTTTTGGGGAATGGGAGCGTGTTTTGAACCCGCTGCGACGGGATTTTCCTATTTTGATTGATGGACTGTGGCAGAAAATGAGCTCCATAAACTAAATATCCCCTCCAAGAGCCGCAGAGGCTTTGATTCCTTAATGAATATAGAACAAACAACGGGGCACACACGGGAACCCCCTCCTTTAACGGTACCGGTTCCCAGCTCCTGCGGCGGGGCAGTCATCCTGGTGTTTCTGTTTAAAAGGCTTTCGGAGGTACCTGCTTCGCTGCTGGTATAGGTTTTATCCAGCAGAGATCTCGCTGCGAAGCCGTGCATCCCCCGCATGGAGCTCAGCGCCTTGGGAGGCTCGGCGGGGACACGGGCACCCATGTCCGGCAGCTTTTGCAAGTGGGGTTAAACTGAGGGGTTCCTGAGCTGCTGGCACAGCAGGGGCGAGGGGCAAAGGGTGCTGGTGGGGAAGGTTTTTGCCTGTTTCTGAGCCGAGCGGGAAGCGCCGGTGAGGAGCCATGGAGTGCACCCGGGTCTGCCGGCCCCGGGCAGCCTGGCCTTGGCTCCGGGTGGGAGATAGGGACAGGGAACGGGACAGGGGCAGGGGCTTCCATCCCACCCTGGGCTCCTCTCCCTTCCCTCCGAAAGCGTCTGCCCGCGGAGAGGAGAACCCCCGACCCTGCGCCGGCCCCGCTGCCCCCGGCCCGGCCTCCCGGAGCCCCCCGGCTTTTCCTCTTGCCTTGCTCTTTTCCTTTTTCTTTCCTTCCTTTTAACTATTTCCCTTTTCATTTTCCCTTTTATTTTATTTTTTAAACTTTAAAAATTTTCATTTTCTTTTTATCTTTCTCTTTTTTTTGTTTTTATTTTTTCTTTTCTTTTTGATTTCGTTTGTTCTTATTTCGAGTTATTTTTTGTTTTATTTTTTAGGTTTTTAAATTTAATTTATTATTTTCCTCTTTTCATTTTTTTCCTCTTCTTTATTTTTTCCCGTTTTCTTTTTTCCTTTCCCTCCCCCCTTTTTTTCTCTTTCTAATTTTACCTTTCCTTTTTTTTTATTTATTTTCCTTCTCATAACTCTTCGTATCCTTTTTCTCCTTCTTTCTTTCTCGGTTTTCTTTTTGTTTCTGTTTTCCTTCTCCTCTTTCTTCTTTTCTGTTTTCGTTTTCTTTTTATTAGGCTTCCCTTTCTGATTCATTTTGTACTCCTTTTCCCTCTTCGTTTTCTTCTCTTTTTCCCTCTTCGTTTTCTTCTCCCTTTCTCTTTTCTCCCCTCCCCGCTATTCTCCCTCACACTCCTCCGGGTCGGGTCGGACTCTCCCACCGGTGCTCGGCAGCCTCACAGCCCCGAGAACGCATCTCCGGTCCCCTCTAACGGAGCCAAACCCTTGTTCCTTCTGGACAGGGGCCGAGGCCCGAGGAAAGCCCGCGGGGGTGCAGTGGGGTGCGGTGCTCCCGGCTCCCGCGGGGCCCACGGCTCCTGCCCTCCGCCCCTCACCGCGGATCCGGCCCGCGGGTTTCTCCGCGCTTCCCAACAGAGGGAGACAAAGGTTGGGGCAGACACCGCGACCCCCGCTCCCGCCGCGAGGTGCGGCTGGCCGGGGATGCTGCAGCGCCGGGGTTCCTCCAAGGGAGAAGCGGCCTTGGGAGACTCCGGGGGTGTTCAGGAGCCGACCCCGCAGGCCTCTTCCGACCCCGGCTGAAAGCAGCCCTCTCCGGCCCCGGGTGGGCTGCGGGCTGCGGGCTGCGGGCTGGGCACGGCCCCGGGGTAAAGGGTCTTCCGACGGTGGGAAGAGACCCCCACCTGTCCCCCCGAAATCCAGGGCAGGGAGAAAGGCAACGGGTTTCCTCGGCCGCCTTTCGATTGCCTCCGTCCCACGGCTGCCGGCAGCAGCCCCCGCCCGCTCCGCCGGAGCTGAGAACGGCAAACTCATGGCCACGGCACTCCCCGGAGGCTGTAGCCTGGTGGTGCAGTGGGTGAAGGATGCACACAGGGGTCACTCATCCCTTTGCGGGTCTCGGCAGCTTTTTAATCGATCCATTCTCTTTTCCCGACCACCGATTTCCAACGCACCCTTCGGCTGGCGCACACGGGTTTAACCCCACGGCTGGGGAATGGGGGGGTAAAGGGAAGGGGCAGCCGGGTGGGCACCGCGTGGGGTTCTCCCCGTGCCTGTCCCCGCACCGATGCCGCGTCCCTGGCAGGAAACGCCGTTTGCCTCCTGCCCGCCGCTGTCCGCGCTGCCGACGGGGCGGCCGAAGTCCAGGGCTGGAGGGGGGCTGTCAGGACGGGGCTGTCCAGAACCGCTGCCCCCCGCTCTCCAAATGCTCTCAGTTAAAACCCCTGGAGGAGCCGGCTTTCGATGCGGTTGTAAACGCAATGCCCGAGGCTGGTTGCGAGGCGGTTTTCCACTCTCTCCCCCCAACCTTTCAGTCGTTTGCAGGGAAACGCTCACGATCTTCCTTCCCATCGACCTTTCTTGGTAGAGGAAATCCACAGACCCCCCCCGCCCCACCGCCAGACACTCGTCCATCCCAGTTTTACGCAGCTGCATTCTTACTCGGGTAAGGAAAAGGCGGATTTCGATGCAGCGGCTCTGCGGGGGGAGCCGGCTGGAGGAGATGCCCAGACCCCGCACCGGCAGCTCCCCCCAGAAATACCCCCCAGCCTCTAACCATCCTCTCCGGACCCCGGCGATGTCCCTGCCCGCAGGTCCCGGCCGTCGGGGCTGGAGGCGGGGCAGGTGCTCGTCCCCCGTGGGAAGGACGGCATGGGGGGGGGACACGGACGCTCTGTGCCTCAGACTAGGAGGGTGGGGGGGTATCGCCCCCTCTCTGCCTCCCCGCAGCCCTAAAGCGGGCTTGGAGAGGGGCATGGGGGCGGGCGGGGGGGCAGCTCCTTGGGGGAGGGGGGCGGAGGGTGCCGGCCTCTCCCGTCCCGTTCCCCCCCTTAGCGCTGGGGAGCGGCGGCAGCGGCCATTTAGGGGCGGCGCGGGAGCCAATGGGCGTCCCGCGGCAGTGACGGCCGAGATTGACGTGTTTCCCACGTCAAATTGATCCCAAGTAGCGGCGGGGGGAACCGGCCCGGAGCCGCCAGGACACCCCCGCCGCCCGCCCAGCCCAGCCGGGCCGCGCTCCGCCGCTCCCGGGGCCCGTCTATGCCGGGGCCGGGGCTGTGGCTGGGGCCGGGGCTGTGGCGCGGCGGGCAGGCGGTGCCCCCTCCCCGGGCGGAGCGGCGCTGCCCCGGCGCCGGGCGATGGGTAAGGCAGGCGGGAGAGGGGAGGGCTCCGGTTCGGGCTCCGCGGTGGGGTTGGGGGGGTGAGGGGAGCCCCGAGCCCCGTGGCTGGCGGGGCACGGACGGGACCCCGGTCTCGGTGCGGCGCTCCGGGCCGTCGTGGCGGCGGGCGGGGGTCCTGCACGAAGTGCCCGGCTGGGAGGGCGCTCGGCTCCCCTTTCCTCCACGCTCCCTTCCTCTGCTTTCGCTTCGCTCTTCTCTTTCGGTTCTTTCTCCAGTTCTCGTTGTTTTTCCTTTTTGTCTTTTTCGGCCTTTCCACCGCTGTCTTTTTAAGTTCTCTTTTTCCTCTCCTTTCCCCTCTTTTTTCTTTTCTTTAGCCATCCTTCCTTCTGTCTCTTTTCCTCCATTTTTAATCTCTTTTTATTCCTCTTTTTTTTTTCTCTATTTCTTCTTTTTTTCCCGTCTCTTCTCATTCTCCCCCCGCTCCACCTCTTTTTCACCTCTTTTCTTTCCGCTCACCCCCTTTTATTTCTTTTTTGTTCTCTTTCGTTTTCCTGTCCTTATTTCTCTCTCCCCCCCGTTCATTTCTCCCTTCCTTTCTTCCTGCTTGTATTTCTTTTTCTTTCTCCCTTTCTCTCTTGTTCTCATTTTCCTTTCGTTTCCATTTTCTTTTCAATTTTCATTTTAATTTTCTTTTCATTTTTCCCTCTTCTTTTCCCCTCTTCTTTTTCCTTCCCTTTTTCCTTTTTTCTCATTCCTTTTTTCCTTTTCCTTTCTTTTTTCCCTCTCCCCTTTTTTCCTTTCCCTTTCCCCCTCTTTTCTTTTCCTAGACCTGCGGGGCGGGCCGCGACTGGCGCAGTGTCCCCGTCCCCATCCCCTCGCGTCCCCTCCGCCTCCGGCTCCTCTCGGGCCGCCGGTCGGTATCTCGGTGCTCGGTACCGCGGCGGTCGGTAACGCGGCGTCCGGCCCGTGCAGAGCACACCTACGGGGAGGTGAACCAGCTGGGAGGTGTCTTCGTCAACGGGCGGCCGCTGCCGAACGCGGTGCGGCTGCGGATCGTGGAGCTGGCGCAGCTCGGCATCCGGCCCTGCGACATCAGCCGCCAGCTCCGCGTCTCGCACGGCTGCGTCAGCAAGATCCTGGCCCGCTACAACGAGACGGGCTCCATCCTGCCCGGGGCCATCGGCGGCAGCAAACCGCGGGTCACCACCCCGGCCGTGGTCAAGCACATCCGCGACTACAAGCAAGGCGACCCCGGCATCTTCGCCTGGGAGATCCGCGACCGGCTGCTGGCGGACGGCGTCTGCGACAAGTACAACGTGCCCTCGGTCAGCTCCATCAGCAGGATCCTGCGCAACAAAATCGGCAGCCTCTCGCAGCCCGGCCCCTTCGAGGGTAGCAAACAGCCGCCCCCCCAGCCCGCCCTGCCCTACAGCCCCATCTACCAGTACCCATACCCCGGCCCCATGGCCTCGACGGCCGCCAAGGTGGGGCCTCACCCCGGCGCTCCCCACGTCGGGCTGCCCCGCTCCTGGCCCTCGGCGCACTCCGTCACCAACATCCTGGGCATCCGCACCTTCGTGGAGCAGACGGGTGGGTATCGAGCATCACCCCTAACACCACCACTCCCCTCCACCCCCCGGCTTTATTTGCTTTAATTCTATATTTGATTCTTCGGTTGGGCGCATCCTGCTCGGGAAGGACGGGGCGGGAGGGGAGGGAAAGAGAAAGGGGAGGATGGGGGAGATGCGGCGAGGCTCAGACATCTTGAACTTTTTATGAAAAATGTGGAAAATATTTTCTCAGGGATGATAGATTGCCGACCGCAAATTCGGAGCCTGAATTTCCCTTTGCGAAGGGGAAAATAAAACATGGAAGGAGGGTAAAAAGGGGGAGAAAACCAACGGGGGAGAGGAAAAAGAGGAGGGGGAAGAAAGCGGCGAGACTCTCGGAGAACGGGCGCGGTGCTCCCCGGGATCTCCCCCGAGAGTTCGCTCTGGTTTTCCTAAAAACCAAACCGGGAGAGGGCCCGTTGCCCCTGCAGCTCCCATCCCCGTGGCCCGAGCCTCGGCCCGCCTGCCCAGCCGGCTCCGAGGGTGACAGACGGGACGGGACGTGGAGGATGGGAGAGGGAGAAATGCGAGTCCTTTTATCCTTCCAAAACCCGGGGTAAATCAACCTCATGCGTTCCCCTCCGTGCATAATCATTTATCTTTAAAATTCCGATGTCACTTTTATAAATCTCCTTCGTCAGAAGAGAAATTGGGCCTCCTAAATTATCGGGAACGTGGAAGGGACGGGGGGGGGAGGGAGGTGGTGTTTGTGAGCAGAGGGATCATGTTTTGGGGGTTCCCCCTAACAGGGTGCATCTAATTCACCGAATCCCAGCCTTTCGCTGGCCTTCTAGCGGGGAGCCGGCTGCATCCCTAGGGTGCCGGCAGGGACTGGGAGGCGAGATGGATCTGCGCCCTTCCTCCCCATCGGGTTTATATGAACGGGCACTTGCAAACCGCTGTTGTCCCCATGTTTCACCCCAAATCTCTGCTCCGAGGGCCAGGTCCGGGGCCGAAATGGGGGTAACGCTGACGGGGCGTCCGCTTTCTCCTTCGCAGGGGCTCTGGCTGGCACAGAGGGGTCTGCCTACCCCCCAAAAATGGAAGACTGGCCCAGCGTGAACAGGACGGCGTTTCCCCCGGGCCAGGCAGTCAACGGCATCGACAAGGCTGCCATGGAGGGAGATATCAAATACCCGCAGGTAACGGCTGGAGGCACACACGGCGGACGGGGACGGGCATTTCCCGCTGCTCCCGTTTCCTCCTCCGCCCTCCCTCTCCCCGTGGGGGTAACCCCGACAGCCCCCGTTCCGTGCTCCGTCCCCGACGCGTTTCTCTGCCTGTCCGCAGCCGGCCCCGGGGCTGTCGTCGGTGGGCAGCTTCCTCCCAGCCTGCGCCTACCCCTCGTCCAACCAACACGGCGTCTACGGCGGCCCGCCCGGCGGCTACATCCCCCCGGGGCACCCCTGGCAGCCACAGGGCAGCCCCTTGGCCCACCACGGCCCCGGCGTGGCGACCCATTGCGGCGACCTGGCCACGGCGATGGCGTTCAAGCAGCACGGGAGGGAAGGTGAGGCGGGGGACACGCACACGGGACAGCGCAGGGGGCTGCGGGCTCCCTGGGGCCTCAGCAAGAGGGGCAGAAACGGAGGAAGGGGGTGAGGGATTGGGCGCGGGTCTCCAGGATGGGGCTATCCCGCTGCGTATTTCCGGTGTCAGTGCTAGTGCGCCCCGCTCCCCGGTGTTATCGGGGTGCTCAGCTGGGCCGGCGGCCGCGGGCAAACGCGGTGCCCCCGGCTTCCCCTGAGAGCCATGAGCCACCAGTACCCCCGACAGTGGTCCCCGTCTGGCTCGTAACCTGGAACCCCGTTTTCCCTCTTTATTTGCGCCTATATAGAGAAACGAGAGGATTTGAGGCCAATCCTCCCCTTTCCATCATCCTCCCTAGCCTGGGCAAGGATCGCCTTCTCGGCGGAATTCGTGGCACCCCCTCATGTCAGAGCCCTTTCCCCCAGTCCGACCAGGGCTGAACGCTATTAATGTTACGAATCCTCCGCTTTGGGGAGTATTTAAACTCCCTACGGCAGGCACGGAGGGGTTCAATCGAGCGTTCGTATATCCGAGGCGTTAATTGGGGCGTTCCTTTTACCTCCCGTTAATTGTTTCGTCTCATTTATGGGGGCGAGGTTCGTTCCCTCGATAGGCGCTTTCGATTTAAAGCTGCCATCTCAGCTGTTGTGGGTATAAACCCCTCGGCGACGTCCTTCTCCTTTTGCGCGGTATTAGATTTGCTATTCTTGTCCACATTTGCAATTCATTTCCCACTGGTTAGTTCATCTCTTTATTGTTGGTTTTCTGGGGTTTTGCGTTTTTGTTTATTTTATGGCTTTATTTTATATGCATATGTGTGTGTATATATCTATTTATATATGTATATACACACACATGCCCCTTTGGCTTCTCTAAAGCAGGCAACCTGCTGCGAGTTACAGCATCAGCTGTGCTGGGGCTGAGCTATTGCGAGTGCCAATGGGTGAAAACGAATAATTGTAAACCGATTATTTGGGAAAGAAAATACAATAGAGAAACAGAGTGTGAGAAGGGAAAGGGAAAAGAAAGGATTAAGAAAGGAAAGGAGGAAGAAAGCAGAGAGAGAGATGACTGCGGGGATTTAATGTGCTTTCCGAGATACTTTAAGTGACTTGGAGCCAGAGTTTTCTGACTTCAAACTGTCTCTGCCGAAAGGCCCATGGACTTCCTTCAAACCTTAGTGGGTTTTTTTTGGTTTTGCGTTTTGGGCTTTTTAAAAAAATATTATTATCTTTTAAATTATTTTTTTGTCCTATTTTTTAATTAATTCCTTAAATTTTGTGATTTTTTTTTTTTTTTCCTTTAAAAGCTGATTTTCTTTTCAGTTCCTTTCGGATCGCTTTTCTGGTTCCGCCCCTTACCTGGCACAACCCAGTTACGGGACTATGGAGCGAACCGGTCCCCCCGGGCCCGAGGAGGGGCTGGAGGAAGAACGGGGCAGCCCCGGGGCCCCGCTCCGCTCCCGAGGAGCCGCCCGGCTCCGGCTCGGTGCTGCCCCGCGTCGGCATCTTGCAGGGAGAGGGAGAGGGAGAGGGAGAGGCAGCGGGAGCTGAAGGGACAGAGAGAGGGGAAGAGGGAAGGAGGGAGGGAAAGGGGGACAAAAAGAGGGAAGGGAAAAAGGAAAGGAGAAGGGAAGGCAAGAAGGAGGGAGGGATAAAAAAAGACAAGGAAAAGGAAGAGAGGGGAAGGAAAAAGAGAGGAGAAGGAAAAGATGGCAAGGGGGAGGGAAGGTAATAAAAGAGAGAATGGGAGAAAGGAAAGGAGGGAAGGAAAAAAAAGGAGAGAAGGGAAAAAAGGAGAGGAGAGAAGGGGAGAAGGGGCAGGAGGAGAGAAGGAAAGAAAGAAAGTAAAAATAAAGACAAACCCCGCAGTTTCACCCTCCAATTTAGAACTTTTCTGACTTCACAGCCTTTATTTCTCCAGAAAACCCTTCCTGCTCACCCCAATGCCTGCAGCAGCCCCAGGACCTTCCATGTCCCATCTTCTAAAGCCTGTGTGTGGGGATCCTCTGGGCCTGGGCCAGCCTCTGACCCTGCACCATGATGCTTTCTGTGGCCAGGTTGTGCTTGGGCTGAGTCAGGGATGGGGAGAAGCTCAGCAGGAGGCTGACCACAGCTGGCACAGCATCCAGATCCATTCCCCTTCCTGGTGCTGGTGGCACAGTCCCTCCCAGGCCACCGCAACCACAGCCTTGAGAGCATCCATGGGATGTGTTCTGTGTGTGGCTGGGGTGGGTCTGGGTCACCCCCCAGGCAGAGCTGGCCCCACGACAATGGTGTCTGTCCTTACCACCATCATTTGGGATCTGCATCCACTCCTTTCCTCTCCAGTTCCCATAGAGAGGTCCAATATGGGGTGCCTTGCCTGGGGAGAAGGGCTGGGGGGCCCACGGAGCAGAGCTGCTCTTGGGGAAGCTGTTGGAGTGGGCCCATGTGTGTGTAGATGTGACTGCAGCTATGTGCTTGGAATCCATCAATCCACTGCCTTCCTGTTGCATTCTCTTTTTCCCTTCTCTTGCAGTGGTGGACAGAAAACCTGCCAGTCCCGTGGGGAAATCTTCAGACTCTCTAAATACCATCCACGGACTCTCTATCCCAGCCTCCTCTTCCTAGAGCCACCGAGCAGCAGGCTGGAGACAGTGACTCTTGGAATAAGCACCTGCAAACCGTAACGGGAGCCTGGAGTGCCACCGAGCTGTGCCCAAAATGCCATCGAACTGTGCCCAAAGCGCCACCACCCCCAGAAGGTGTCTGTTGGGATGAGGAGTAGCCTGTGTGCTGAGAGGTGCCATCCTCCCACGGCAATTCCCAGTGCAGGGAAGCACGGTTGGGATGTGCTCACACTGGCTGGACGCTTTACCTCAGAAAGGGGTGACAGAGGAGACTCAATCTTCCTTCTTTGTATTGTTTCCCCCCTTGCTTTCAGTTTTTCTTTCTCCTTCCCGTGTCTCTGAAGACTTGGATGCAGGGCAGCAAACGCCTCCATGCCAAGACATTGACGGGAGCATCCCAGCTCCGCCGCAGCCCAAGGGAGCGCGTTTCCTCCAAGGAATGGTTTCTGGCTTCCCCAGGGTGCAGCTGCTCGATGGAGCCCTCTCCATTGGAGTCCCGCAGAGCCCCTGCCCCGGGGCGGACATGGACAAATGTGCCACGACGGTGCGTGATCTATTTTTATAACAAGCCTTAATAAAAGTGACTCCCGTGGGCACACACCGCTGCCCGCCTTCCCTCGGCAGCCGGCTGAGCACCATCGCTTCACCCTGCGTCCCCCGGCCTCCAACAGCATCTGCGGGGGTCTCGGGGGGCACTTGCCTGGGTGGGAGCGCCCTGTGCTGAGCCGGGGTTGCTGTGGGCACATTGCAGCCCTGCTCCTCGTGCCTCCTCGCTGCACAGATTTGGGGTTCTCTTGCACTGGTGTGGGGGTTGTGGCCTCACTGGGTGAGTCCTGGTGCTGTGGGGCCAGCAGGAGGTGGGCAGGCGCTGGGCTGTGTTATCCCGCTCCTGTCCAGCCGGCTGGGGCGCATTCAGGATGGGCTCCACTGGGCTTTTGCATTCCCTGGCTCCACCAGCCGCTGCCATTGGCTTCGGTCCCTTCATTGTCTGGAGAAGGGGAAGGTCCTACAGCGGGGCAGGGAGGAAATGTCCTGGCAGGAGAATACAGGCCTGGCTTTTAGCACAGAGCGTGTCTTTGTGGGAGGGATGGGGGGGGACACATGGATGATGCCACATTTGACATCCCACCCCAGGAAATTATTTTGCCTTCAACCTCGGGGTGGCAAAACTCGGTTTTGCCTCTGCTGCTGCAAAGCCTCCAGCCAGAGCCAGCCTTTACATCCGAGTACAAAGCACAGGAGGGAAAGGAGGGGATTTTAAGCTGGTGACAGTACTTGCACCAGGGCCACCAGACTGTCACTGATGAGGCTTTAAAGGATGCAAGGACGGAGGAGTCACCTGAAACAGAGCCTGGTGGCTGCTCCCTGCCCGGTTTATCCCTTTGCAGCTGCATTCCGGTTTGTGGCAGAGCAGCTTTGGCAATCATGACTGACTGCAACACCCTTAAAGCCGGGACGCAGTGCACATGGCCCCTGTCCACCCTGCAGCCTGGGCAATGCAAACCTTCCCAGGGGGAAAGCACAACATGGGGACAGCCCCAGCCAGGCCTCTCCCAGGGTTCTGCTGCTCTGGGAAGTCAGATCCCTTCAGTTCCCAGTGCTGAGACCTTGCTGCTCATGAGCCTGAAGGAACAAGTCTGTCCTGCTGCTGGGGAACTGGGAGAAGCTGCTTCTAGGAGCTGGAGCTCATCCACACCAAGCTCCTATACTGCAGAGGGATCGAGTAAGTGAGAATGCCCATCACCATGGTGGCAACCTGTTGTAAAAGGGCTGGAATACCCTGAAAACGTCATGCTGTGTCCCATAGGTGGCTGTGTAGGTCCCATAGGTGGCTGTTCTGCTCTGTTCTGCCGGCCACCTCTAGCCCTGCAGCACCTTCCGGTTCCTAATGCCTTGTGCTTCAGGGCTGGCTGTGCCCTGACTCCTGCCTCCCAGCACCCCATACTCGCACTGGTATGTGCTGGATTCACAGCACCCTGGCGAGTGGGACCCAGCTGTGATTCCTCATCTCCCCCATCCCATGCAGGATGCTTCCACACTCCGTGGAGATGGGACTGGGGCTTGGATGGGATGGGATGAGGAAGACACGGGTGCTGGGATTGGACAGAGACATAGCACAGAGCCTAATCCTTTTAATGAACATCCTGCTGGGGTGGTGTGCGAGTGCCTGAGTTATCCCCTTCCAAGGCTGTCAGGAACCTGCCAAAATTCCTCGATGTTTTGCATCCGCTGCAGCCCCAAGGCAAAGACATCCCTTTGCAAGTGCTTGCTGGGTGCAGGCAGCTGAGGAGCACTGCATGTGGGCAAATCACCATGTGCCCAGCCTGGGGATCCAGCCTTGGGGGTGAGACTGTTTGGGCTCCATCCATGTAATAGTGGGACACAGCGTGTGATGGAATGCAGTGCGTGATGGGATGCAGCATGTGATAGGATGTATCACGTGATTTGATGTATGGGATGAACTGGGATGAACTGTGTGCTGGAATGCATTGCATGGTGGGATGCAGTGTGTGATGGGGTGCATCATGTGCTGGGATGTGTTGTGTGGTGGGCTGTGTAATGTAATGGTATATGCTGTGTGATGGCATGCACCATATAATGGTATATACTGTGTGATGGGATGCACCGTATAATGGTATATATGGTGTGATGGGATGCACTGTGTGATGGGTTGTACTGCGTGGTGGGATGCATCGTGTGGTGGAATGCAGGGTGTGGAGCTTCTCTGGGCACCCTGTGCCAGTGCCTCAGCACCCTCACAGGGAAGAGCTTCTGCCTAAGATCTAATACCACAGCAGCCTCAGCCCACTGCCTCCCCAACACCCCAAGGGCTGCTTGAAGCCAAAGGCTGTGAAGGGATACAGCGTATGATGGGATGCAGCATGTGATGGGATGCACTGTGTGACAGAATGCACTGTGTGCGGGGATGCACCACGTGATTTGATGCAGTGTCTGATGAGATGCACTGTGCATGGTCCCCCGTTGGCTTCTGCAGGAAGCCGGTGCCAGTGATGCTCCCCGGGACATCCTGGGGACCCTTGCAAAGGCCACGGGACGCAGCTGGAAGCCAGCCCCGCTGTCCCACAGCCCCATCCCTGCCTGCGGCGGCCGCGCACCTCGGGCGGGCTCTGCCACCAGAGGGAGACCCCATTGCTCCGCAAGCGGCAGCCGCCGCCGCAGCCGGGAGCAGGCGCGCTCCCCGCAGCGGGTGCCGGGCAGGGCAGACCCTGCTCTGCTGCGGGTGCCTTCGGGGTACCGAGGGGGCACCGGGAGCAGCGGTGCCGGTCCGGGGGTGCTGCTCGAGGGCCGGCAGGCGCAGGCAGCGGGTGGCTGCGCAGCCGCGCTTCTGGTTTCAGTTCTTCCCCTGAGCGCCTGGCTGTTGGTAGCCTTTAAACGCGGCTGTGAAGTGATGATCAGAGAGGGGACTTCCTTTCCCCACTGCGCTTTGCTGTGAGAGCGGAGTTTCCACAAGGAAGCCTGGCTCGGTTATCCATCTTCACAGATGCTATCACTGAGGCATTGCTGGATGGGATCGGCTCCCTGTGTGCATGCAGAGGCAAGTACAGATCCACAGCCACTCTCCTCAAAGCCTGTTTCAACCCTGTTGCCCTTCCCAGCAACGTTTCTGGTGCAGGCAGAGAAACTGGAAAGCAAGGCATGGGGGCCTGGAGGTTTAGGTTAAATATAAGGAAGAAATTCGTTACTGAGAGTGGTGAAGCTGTGGCTGCCCCATCCCTGGCAGTGCTCAAGGCCAGGTTGGACACAGGGGCTTGGAGCAAGCTGCTCCAGTGGAAGGGGTCCCTGCCCGTGGCAGGGGTTGGAGCTGGAGGAGCTTTAAGGTCCCTTCAACCCAAACCAGGCTGGGATTCTGTGATGATCCACTATTACCTGTTGTCACCTGTTGAGGCAGGTCAAGGATGCCATGGCTTAGTGTCCCCAGTGAGAAAGCTTAAGGAGAAACCTTTGATGGCTGGGAATATGCTCTTGATACCCATGTCCCACATGCTACTGAAGGGATGTGATCCTTGTGCATAGGCTGCATCTTGTGAGCACCCAGCTCATCCAAGGGGCACAACTGGACTTGGTCTAAGCAGAGGTCTCTGAATGACCAATGCATTGACAAGAGCAGAACAAGGGTCATGGCTCTGGGGACAGGCAGGAGCACACAGCTGCAGATGCTGCCCCACAAGCAGCCCCCCCATGGACACGCTGTTGGCCAGCAGCAAAACCAGAGAGCACTTTGTAGAGAAACAGCCCAGAGGCTGTAAAGCTTCAGGTGCAACCCCCCCCCAAGATACGTGCCCGAGGCAAATCCCCCACCAGAAACCACTGCCTCGGGAAGGCTGGGGCAGGGATGTAAGGGGCGGATTGGCTGAAGCGAGGCAGAGATCCCGCTTGCTGTGTGAAGGCATCAGCTTTCCGGCATCGAGCAGCCAGCACAGGCGCAGGGGAGGGGGGTCTGTAACCAGAGCTGGGGGGGGACGGACAGGCTGAGGAAGAGGGACCCAGCAGCGGGAGCCAGGTTTCAGAGGCGTGAGCTCTTACGGGCTATAACCCAGCCTGGGTAGTGTAAAGCTCGTCCCTGCCTATCAGCGTGTGTAGTGATGCTCGTCTGAGGCACGTTTAGGTTTCATCACCCCAGCGTCTGCGTTCTCCCCCTGCCAAGCGTATTTGCTCTTCATTAAGGCGATTGGAATGAGGTTGGGTGAGTGCTGGGGCTGGGATAGCCCTGGTGTGGGCGACACATCTGCCATAGCTCCGCTCAAGCACAGGGTGATGAAGAAGGGAAAACCTGAGTGGGAAGCCCTGGAGGCTGCGAGGCAGGACTACACGTGCCAGCAGGGCTTTACCTGTGGTCTGGCTGCAATCTAGCCGAGCTCACAAATCAGCGGGGTGGGAGAGGATGAAAACAGGGGGGCTCTCGGGGAGGAAACCCTGATTTATTCCTTTGGTTCAGGTCTGGAGCGCAGGCTGCCCGTGATGCAATCGCTTTAGTGTCCATATTATGTTATTTATCGCACTGAGCATCCTCTGGAGCTCCCAGACTCTGCCCAGAGACCTACCAGATCTGGAGGCTTCCCCAGAAAGTGCTGG